GTTATTATGTTCTTAACATATCTGTTAATTCACTCGAAGTTGGCTTTTATTTTGAAATCCGGTTTCCACATCCATTCCCGTTATACTTTGAATACACAGGGAACGTAAAACAAACTGGAGGCTGGCTTGACACAAGTGAAAAACTGCGTCCAAAAATCGATTAATTTGTCATGTATTTACTCAGCGCCTTTAGAAACATACCTGTTATAGTGTAGCCGATGTTAACAGGTGGCAAACATCCATTCGGCACCAGTGACATAACAGCTAAGTGTCATTTTAATAAAATGCTTTTAAATGCGTTCCCCTCCAAGTTTATCAACGTAACTCTGAGGCAGGAGCAAAATCAGTGCTGCCCATTTCACGAGGGAGGAATATAAAAGCTTAAGTGAACTCAGTATCAGTGTCTCTGAGTGACTTCAGTCTGAGAGGGGAAAACAGTGGCGGTGGGGTTTTTCGGTGTCTATAGCTAACACGCTGAACTCTAACGTTAGCAAATGAACAAGCAGGCAGCCTGTAAGGTTAGCGTTCAGTGTTTCGGTGCCAGCACTCTGTTTGGCGGCCTGCTTCTAACCAACGCTGATCTTAACCTTCCCAAATCAAACTAAAACATTTAGCTTTTTACAGCTACTGTCTGTCACGTTTGACACCGCCCCCTGTCCAATGGAGAGCAGAATCCGCAGACAAGCACAAACGTCAGCCAATCAACGAGGCCTACGTGATGACGAAGTTTACACAACGCGTGAACGCTGAATGAGCAGCAAGTCTGACAGAACAGTGAAGAAAACCTACCTGAGAACTAGCTTCTTCCGACATGTCGGTGATTCGGTTGACTCCGCCGGTGTTGCGCGAATCAGCAGCGTGTTTTTCTGGACACAGAGACTATTAGAGACACCTAAACTCCTGGATGAGCTCCGAGCACTCGTCTCAAACAGCTCCGCGTATGAGTGAGCGTGGTGGCTATGATGTCATCGGACCGGCTAGAGGTCATTTCCTGGTCCCGCCTGACCTTTCTGCTTCTGCGGGCGTGGGTGCTCACATCCACGACTTCTAGTGTGACTATGTTGGAAGTTTAAAAGAAACAAAATTGTTATTGTTTAAGAAGGGAAAGCGCAATAATTGACTTCCGGCTGCTAAATATCCGCCGGTAGTATTAAAATGATTACTTTAAAAGCTGACGTCTTGTGTCATGTTTTTGTGATCTGACGACGTGGCCATAAAAACCTGTCTGTCAACTTTGGACTTTTATGCCAACTACCCTACACACCTGTAGGCGTATCCAGTGCGTCAGTGAATTCACAATGTCGGAGGCAGGACTGGGAGTAAATATATTACACGCATATTCTTACGTTGTTACTGTATAATTTAATGGAACAGTGAAATATCTGCTGATTGAAAAACCAACATTCTCCGCAGTGAGATAAATACAGGATCGCGCGTTCCTCTTCCTTTTTTTAAATGGCGACACCTAGTGACCAAAATAAGTTACTGCAACACTGTGACGTGTGTAGTTTTTCATGCTAGGGGTCTAAAATGAGAACCATTTCCCCTCCCCCTGGGTGAAAGACGCATCGATGTGTTCACACTCCAGTGACGCAATCAGACAGCAGTATCACGTCCAAAGATACTCAGGTATGCAGACTGGAGAAACGAGCAGGCAAGGATCAAACTACCAACCTTCTGACTGGTAGAGGACCTGCTCTACCGCCCGAGCCACAGGCATTGTGCATGACAAACATGTAAACATATTCCCATATGAATGTTGGATTTATGTCCCTAAGAACATTCTGAATATCTTAAAGTGTTCCTGCCACCAGCATCTTGCTTACGTGTGCATTTACATAAAATAAAAAATACTGTCTGCTCAAACTGCAGCACGGTGGCACAGGGGTTAGCACTATTGCCTGAGCTCAATTCCAACATCAGGCCGGGGTCTTTCTGTGTGGAGTTTGCATGTTCTCCCCGTGTTTGCGTGGGTTCCCTCCGGGTACTCCGACTTCCTCCCACCGTCCAAAGACATGCAGCTTGTGGGGATAGGTTAATTGGATAATCCAAATTGCCACTAGCTGTGAATGTGCGAGTGAATGTGAGTGCGAATGATTGTCTGTCCCTGTGTGTTGGCCCTGCGACAGACTGGCGACCTGTCTAGGGTGTACCCCGCCTCTCGCCCTATGACAGCTGGGATAGGCTCCAGCGCCCCCAGCGACCCTGAAAAGGTTCAACGGAAGCGAATGGATGGATGCTCAAACTGTCTGCTTAAAATGTTCTACCTCATCTATAAGCTATCAAACCCATTATTTTCCATAAACTAAAATATTTCCTGCTACACTCATCCCCCATGCAAATAAAGAAGTCTGTATTCTTTTCACTACGTGATCAAAATATTAACATACTAATTAATATCAAATATAAGTGAATATTATTATGTTAATATTAACCAAATAAAACATGCTAATGAAAGGCAATTTTCTTCTTCTATATGTTTAATAATTTATTAATTATCTCCAGTAATTAATCTTCTGTCTGGGCATTAATCCCACAGTCCAAAGACATGCTCAGGTTAGTTTAATCAGATAACTCTTTATTGTCCATGCACAGTCACACCTGCTAACAGGAAGTTGGAAATTGATTGTACGTGTGAATGTTGTCTGTCTGTGTGTTAGCCCTGTGACAGGGTACCCTCACCCATCAGAACTGGAATAAGCTCCAGCTAGTCGTGGAACTGGAAAAGCAGAAGGATGGATTGTTGGAGTATGTTTACTTTTCTTTCTTTGATAATAATAATATTATTAAATAATAATAATAATAATAATATTATTATTAGTATTAATATTATTATTGTTGTTAATAATAATAATAATAATAATAATAATAATAATAAACAGAATTCAACATTTTTGTAACTTAAACTTAAAAGACAACATTCAATTCCATAATATATCTGACTTTGTTAAACATGTTAGTTACATTCCTCACACGCTTCACAGCCATCGTTAGTTCGTTGCCCCCCGTCCGGTGACAAATGCCCAACGAGAATATTTATGTTTACAATTAAGGGTTAAAATGTAACATAAAGAACGTAAGGAGGACAACAAAGAGAAAAGACTAATTGTATCATATGTTGCATTAGACTGTGACGTGTTCACATCACGGATACACAGATGGGATGAATTTGGTGTTTTGACGGTGGTGGAGAGCGCTGCCTGCACTGAGGACTGTAGCATATCATTCTTTTTTATACGACCCCCTGTGTGCTCTGTGGGTGAAGACCAGCCCCATCAGACGTGAAACGCTATCACTCAGAACTACTCTGACAACCTCTCTGAATATTATTTATGTGTTTGCCAGGTTATTGATACGCTGATAAACGTTAAAAGTAATCGCGTGGAGGTAATTTGTGGTCAGTAGTCAGAAGTCTAAAGAAGAAGAAGAAGAAACGCCTGGTGGAAGTAATCTGAGTAACTTCTTTATGCAACAAGGCCAACATTTGGGGGCCCACGTCATTGGTTTCCACGGTGGGCTGATCCAGCGGCTCTTCCGGTGGAGACGTGGCTCTGCGCTGCTGCCATATTGACGCTAACTAGCTAACAATCACACAACTAGAAGTCAGCTGTATATTCGCACCTTGCTATTCCAGAGGGACGAGGAATCACCAAAGCAAGAAACGCGAGAGACTGACGACCGTCGTGCCGTAGAGAGAGACCACAATGGTGAGTGACAGTCGAAAGTGACCATTATTTCCCTGCCTTTTATCGGGCCTAGCAGCTATCATAACATTGGCTAGTAGCTAAAGCTAGGTATGAGCAAACTAGCTTCTCCCCCCTCATGAACGAAAGAAGACAATTAATAAACGGTGCTTTTTTATCGGAGCCACAGTGATAGCGACATGTTCAGGTGCTAAAATCGAGTAAATGAGTCGTCAAAGTTGAATTTCACCTGAGTGAAGCGCTTTAGCTGTGCAGTCCGTGCTGACGTGAACTAGCTTTGCGGGCTAGCGCTAGTTGTCTCCTGTCAGTAGCCGGATCCGTGCAACCACTGCCTGCTGTCAGATTGTAATAAGCCAGGTTAAACCGACCCCGGCTCTGCGACATACCCCAACTATACGTACAACTGTGTTATTGTAGTTAGCTAGTGTCGATGACTTCGATAACCAAAGTTGCGTCTTTATCGAGTTCACATCGGTGCGATCGGCTCTTCCATTTCTATTGTCAACGTGTAATCAATGCAGTTCCTCCAGTCATTTAGCACAGCCACGTAAAGCGTCCGTTTATGTCAACCATTGTTATACTCATTATATTAAACGACCCCTGATTCTTTTATAAGATCATTTTCCATTGTGCTTACACCAGTAAGACACGCTCACCTAAGAGAAAGGCAAACAGCGGTTAGTTCATGTGAATTTAGTAATGTCCTCAAACAACTACAGCCGTGTGTAATCAGGAGAGCACCAATATATCAAATGACAAGTACTCTTGTCTGGTTTTTCTGACTTCACTGTATCGCTAAATATCAGAATCAGCTGATATTGTCCTACCTGAGTGTAGGCCACCTCAGGCTAGCATTGGATAATGGCTGACTTAGACTTCTACAGTGGATATTTGAAGAGCCAACGATGTAACCTATGCAAGTGGCCAATGTTATCAGCATTTGTGTGCTGGTGCATTATGTGCTAATTACATTGTGCTCGTTTCCTGGGTTTTATATGCAGTGTCACCTATGACGAAAGCAAATAAGACTTTTTGCTCCTGAGTCTCCACTCTTCAATGTGAAGCTTTTCCTCTTCTTTGTACATTTCCTCATGTTCACTCTGATAGTTTTGTCAATCTTCCTCCTGTAATTTGGTGAAATGTGTGTTCTTATTTACTGTGATTATTATTGTAGATGATTGATAAATCAAATCAAAGACTACAGCAAAAAGTAGCAGAAATTCACAGGAGGGATCGGTGGTATTGAACAGTCACAGTTGTTTCTGGCTGTGTCAACGTGACGTTACATTTTTAGGCAGGAGCACATCAGGTTAAGATGTAGGGTTTCCAAGTAGTTTGCAGTCACGGTGTACCTATGTGGTAGATTTCCTGCTGATGAATGAATCCTCAGTAAGTGTGATGAAGATCTGCAGTAGTGTAAACGGTTCTGTTTTTTTGTTGTTTAGTTTTTTCTTGTTTCTTTGGAATAAAAGAAGAAAATATTACATGGAAAAAAAATTGAATGTTGACATTTGCTGACCTCCCTTTTGTTATTATGAGCATAGATGTTGGTCCGATTACTGCATCTTTAGTTGTAATAGTTCAGGTCTGTGGGAAATTAAAGTAGTGAAATTCCTCTGTACCCCTCAGGTGCTGTTGGCAGCGGCGGTGTGCACCAAGGCCGGCAAGGCCATCGTATCGCGGCAGTTTGTGGAAATGACCCGGACACGAATTGAGGGTCTCCTAGCTGCGTTTCCTAAACTGATGAACACGGGCAAGCAGCACACCTTTGTGGAAACAGACAGCGTTCGCTATGTGTACCAGCCACTGGAGAAGCTCTACATGGTCCTCATCACCACCAAGAACAGCAACATCCTGGAGGACCTGGAGACACTCAGACTGTTTTCCCGTGTGGTAAGCACACACAGGCAGGCTTGGATAGAAGTCAGTTTGCAAAGAGCATTTAAGTACATGTTGTCTGACATGTCGATGAGGTGACCGGTCTGGTAACAAAGAAGAATAAATGTAGAGACGTGTCACTGTATGAACCTGTACGTTCTGAACGTTACAGTAAGTGTACATGATGGATGTAGCTTCTTTGAAACCAGCTGTGATGAACTAAGGGTGATCTCACTGTAAAAAGATGACTAGCTAGCAGCATGTAAATCACAAACATTAGCCGATGAGCATACCTTGGGTAATCCTCACACCCAAAATAACTCATATTTCCATAATGGGCTCAATATTTTATTCATTATGGCCTGAAATTAGTCACCGAGCCCATAAACTCATCAGCTAAGTGTTTACCTGGAGACGCCCCCTGGTGGCCGCTGAAAAGAAAGCAAAGAAAGATTACAGACTTCTCTTTGTTGCTTTCCCACAGTTTGTTGTAGTTGGGCATGAAAGGCACGTTTATGGAAGCCCGTTTCCGCCACTAAAAAAAAAAAAGGATCCATAACTCAAAATTTCGAGTTATTTTCTCGAAATTTCGAGTTATTTTCTCGAAATTTCGAGTTATTTT